CTACGTGATCGTAGTGCTAGGGGTGGTGTTGCTGCGCTCAGCGCCTATGTATCCTGCCCTGGGTGTGTGCGTGTGTTGCGGTGGCGTGGCGTGTGTTTGTACTGGATGCTTGTTGATTGGTGCTTTATATATAAAGCGGGGTGGAAGCCTTTTTCGGTAAAGCTCAGACTTTCTCCAAGGTGAAAACCTAAGATCTTTGATCGGGCGACAACGGCGTTTGTACACCGTTACCTTCTTGAAGGCGTTGCTTTTGGAGAACCTTTTATGTTTTCGGGTGTTGTCTTTGGCGGTGGTTGGAGTGTTGCTGCTGCGAGTGATTGATCATTGTGGCTGGGCCTTTTTTTCCCTCTTTTTTCTTCTTTTTTTTTCTTTTGGCTGTGTGCATTCTTGATGTCTTTTGGACATTTTGTTGGTGCAGAGGCCGGGTGTAATTGGTATCTCCGCGATATTAATATATTCCCTTTGTCGAAAAAAAACATTAATCATAAAAAGAAACAGGAACAACCTGAATATCTCTAATCACTGTCAGACTTCTCTTTGCTAGCTATGAAAACACATATTTGAAAAGAATTTCCCGATGGTATAATTTTTGTAGCATACGTTTCATATATTATTGGTCTTATCGATGGTCGGAGAGTAAATCTTGAAATACGAAATAGGCCCTATATATCTGGATAGAGGGTGTACATCACCTCACCAAGAGAAGAATTGGAAGAATTTAAAGCAAGTGTTATGTGTAAATTACCTGGGTGCCATCTTTCATATGCAGATCCTCTAAACATGCCACTCCTTCAATGTCCACTTTATAACTTTCCTTGCTCATGTGATCTATCACCTGAGTGCCCAGACCATTTTCCGTAGCAAAATCTTTTGGGTCCTCAATGTTATCCGGATCTTTCCCATCGTCAATCCGTTGGCAACCACCACTAAGTTGTACTGCACAATAAAAAATGTAACATGTGTGCGTGAAGAGGGAGTATATATAACTTAACATAACGACACCAATAACTAACAGAAGTACAAGTAAGCAAAATAAGATGTGCAGACGTTTAATGGAAGTCCGGCTGTCTCAGCAGCCAGATCTGTTACATTGGAAACTTACTAAGAACGGTGTGTTCTCGGTCAAATCAATGTATCTGGATGTAATTAACTCTAGCGTCATCCCGACCACGTTGCACGTTTGGAAAGTTAGGGTTCCCTTACGAATCAAAGTGTTTATGTGGTACGTGCATAAACAAGTCATTTTGATTAAGGATAACCTTGTAAAACGCAATTGGGTGGGCTCGTCTAGATGTAGCTTTTGCGATCATAACGAAAACATCAAACACCTCTTTCTTGATTGTCCGTTGGCTAAGATTTTGTGGCGGTCGATTCATATTGCGTTTAATATTAATCAGCCCACTTCTATCAATATGCTATTTGGAACATGGCTTGATGGGGTTGATTCTGATACTGCAAGACACATTCGGGTTGGCGTTTGTGCTTTATTGTGGGCAGTATGAAACTGCAGAAATGATTTAGTCTTTAACAGATCAACAAACATTCACTTTTTGCAGGTTATCTTCAGGGCCGCGGCGTTCATCCATATGTGGTCGCTACTCACTCCGACGGAGGCCAGGGAGCGTTTGGTTACTACGTCTACCCGATGAGAGATGGTAGCTCAGGATATTTTCAACCGGTTTGGATGGCGGTCATGTAATAGGATAGGCATGTAGTGCTCCTATTTTTTGCCAGCCGGTTGTGCTTTGGGTCTTACGTCTTTTGAGCTTTTGTTTATGTTTGCACTATGACATTTCGAGACTTTGTTACTGGATCATCTTTTTAATAATATGAGCCGTATGCATCTCTCTGATGCAGAGGCTGGGGTACACCCCCTTTTTGAAAAAAAAAGAAAAAAAAAGATGTGCAGACTTAATTACCAGACTCTCCAGTAGAAATGGTATCGGGTGGCATTGTCATTGACAACATCATATCAGTAGGTGGTGCCAATAGATTCTCAGAATTCAACGCATGCTCACTTTCCACATCAATATTTTCGGTCGTATCAGTACTTGTTGCCACAGGACTAGTTTCCATTGCAGACTCAGTTCCCATCAGATCCTGGGCATCAACCATCTCAGAAGTAACAACTTGTACTGCACACAGAAAATGTCACATGCATGCATGAAGAGAGAGTATGTACAACTCAACACAACGAAGGAATTAACCAAAGTAGTAATTAAGCTAAATAAGAGGCACGCCAGTTATTAGTTATTACCAGACTCTTGAGTAGACATAGTGGTGGGCTGCGTTGTAACCAATAATGCGGTGTCAGTAGGTGGTGCCCCAGAGCTCTCAGAATTCTCTATAGGCTCACTTCCCACAACCATCGCGTCAACAGCTGTTGCTTCAGGGCTAATTTCCGGAGCAACCTCAGTCCCCATCGGTTTAAAATGATCGTCGACCATTTGTTTCGTGACAAACAAGAGCTTGGGACGTCTGGAGTGGTTCTTTGTTGCTCCTTTCCACTCCTCTTTTGTTCCTTCGCTCACTCCATCATGAAGGGCGACCTCCGTAAGACGTGGCAGGGACTGGATCCTCGTGCTGCTAAAGCCATCCAGATCCTTGCATAGAAGCTGGAGGGACTCGAGGTCCGGCAGAGCCCCCTCTTCATTACCAGCCCAGTGATGAGTTCCACCACTATGCATAGGCGTTTCAAGCTTCCGAGTGCATCCTCTTCGATGACGAGATTGTCCAGTCGAGTTGCATTCAGCTTGAGGTACTTCAGGCCGCTCACGCTGTTCAGGGCTTCAAGAATGCCACTGCTCAGCTGAAGATGAGAGAATGAAAGACAAAGCTTAGTGAGACCACCTATCTTGGTGACAAAGAGAGGTAGGCTGGATATGTTGTTCCCTTGCAGCTTGAGCGAGCTAAGATAGCAGGATGAAGCATTTTCCAGGTCGAAATTCAGGATCTCTTGAGACCATGCGTCATTCATATTCAGTGAGAGTGAACGAGCTTTATTCTCATTGGTGCATCTCTCGATGAACTCCTTGATGGCCTCTGAGAGATAACATATGTTTTCAGAAGAATCGGCGCCCCTCCTGATGAACCCCTTGATGGTCTTTGTGACACGACTTAAGTAGCTGCTGGCATTGCTGGTAGACTCGCACCATATTTTTACCTTTGTCAGTTTATTCATTTCACCCATTAGCTGTGCAAATCCTTGGCTCTTGTGGTCCACAACAAATCCTGCTGCCGTTTGTAGTTTACTGGTCTGTTCATCTTCCAACCAAGCTTGTAGCTTACGCATTTTCTGGCCTCCGACACCTTGTGGGAGCTTGAACTTTCCAAACAGATGAAGTAAACATGGTAGCTGCATAACTCTTGTGGGCAGAATCTCTATATTCGTTCCTCTTACATCCAATGTCACCAAAAGTTGAAGCTTCTTGACCTCTTTAGGGAGAACTGTAATTTTAGAAGCACCCTGGAGGCTTAGATACCTGAGTAGCAACAGGTTGCTGCATATCTCCTTGAGGTGCTTGTCCTCCAAGTGTTCATGTCACTCTTCTAGATTCAAAACTCTCACCAACTTATACTTGGAAAAATTCAAGACAGATTTGTGTGCCTTGCCGAAGATTGTCAGAAAACGGTCAATGGTATATCATTTGGGTTAATTCTGAAGCTTGCAGCACTTCTGTTATGTAGAGAGAGCCAACGGACTTTACTGGGTAGAGGAACATCATCGTACAATAAGGTAACAACAGTTGCAAGGGTATCTCATGGGGTCCCTCTCCCGAGAAGTCCTCGCTCAGGTTGTCACCCTCCAGAAGCCGGCTGAGGTCTGGGCGGCCATCCACGTTCACCGCTCAAACCCAAGCCCAATCGATCAATACTCGAATTGCGCTACATAATCGGAAGAAGGGCAACTCAAGCATGGCGGACTTATCATGGCGCAAATTGGAAGACTTCAAGAGCAATCTCAACTTGATGAGTTATGATTGAGGGGGAGTGTTTAGACAATGTAACGTGTACGTGGTGCAAGTATAAACTGTGTACACATATAGATTGGGTTAGCGTTGTGTGCGTTGTACTCTAGGTGGTTTACGGTTTGTTGAGATCGATCCTTATCTGTATAGATCGTTAGCTTGAGGATCAATCCGGTAACAACCTAAACTACCTCCCTTGTAATCTATTCCCCTATATATACACGCAACGCGTCCCTACGAAAGCATACGCTTCAACCAACTTTTACACCGTGAACACTATGTAATGTGTTTGATCCCTTGCTCGAATCTCAGCGTAGTGACATCGAGGCAGTCCCCATGGGTGCACCGTTCGCTCCATGCACCCCCCGGCCCCGAGTGAAGGACGCAAGACGTTCGCTCCATTCTTCTTTTTTCTTTTGAGCGAAGGACACCTGCATCCGCGAAGTAGGCAGACAGTAGGAAGTGGGCAACCAGTAGAGCCACTCATCGGTCTCCCATTCGATAGGACTCTGCCAAGTTTCTAACTAGGCAAATGGTTTGCCGAGTGCCGACAAAAGGGACTTGGCAATACGAAGTGCCATGCGGCAAGGTCTTATTCGTCGCCTGTTGAGTTTATCAGCCAAAACTCGGCAGAGCCATGTGCCATGTGGTATCTTTGTTAACTGACTGTTTCGTCTGACGGTGTTGTTTGCCGAGTTCTCTTTCTGTCAAAACTTGGCAGTACGTACTTAAATGTTCGTCAAGTTCCTGATAATAAGATGTCAACAGTTTTAATGATTGGCGATCCGTGTCCAGCCGAGTCCTGTTAGCCGAGAACATAACTCGGCGAACATATCGCCGAGTTGATTCTGGGCTCTGCCGCGTTCCCTCAAAACTTAGCAAATATAGTGGTAGGTCTAGGATTGTTTCTGCGAAAGGTGTACACTTGTGCATATGATGTAATTATTTGGTATTATACTCGTTCCTATTGGACTGCCTGTACTTTGCAGATAGTTTCTTTACAAGGTGAACTAGTCGCACGAGTCTTTATGTCTACCTTGGTGCGAGCTCTGTGATGGAGGAATGAGTCTCCGAAGACATCTGCTCAATGATTAGCTCAGTAGTCTCTGAGTAGCTCCTGCTTCTATCCAAGACATAGGCTGGCCTGTAGGGAGCTTCTAGAGAGACGGTGTCGCTGCCGAGCATGACGACGATCGATGACATGGATGGCCGGTCAGTGGGTTTCTGCTGGACACACAGCAGCCCAATGTTGATGCATTTCAGAACCTCACCCCTGGGGTAGTGCCTGCCTAAACTGGGGTCTGCTATTTCTGCGATAGTTCCCTCCACCCAGTGCTTCCAAACCTGCATGCAATTCATATCGCTCATCAGCATGAGCTAGTCTAGCTAAAAGATGAAAAAGAAACTTGTCGAAGCTAATTGTACTTACAAGACAGAAGAGGTCTTGAAAACGCTCAGAGTTGACGGCGAAGTTGTTCCTTTGCCCCGTTACCATCTCCAGAACTAGAACGCCGAAGCTAAATACATCTAGCTTGGTAGAGTAGTGCCCGCGCATGGCATACTCTGGAGACATGTAGCCACTGCAGAGACAAGATTATTTTTCAGTCATTTGGCACGTCGATAATAATAGTAGCACATATTAAATTTGCATATTCGGATCTTACAGTGTTCCGATGGCACGGCTTGTGACTTTTCTAGTTTCATCGTCAGTAAAGATCTTGGCCAAACCAAAATCTGAGATCTTAGGTTTCATATCTGCGTCAAGTAAAATGTTGCTGGCTTTCAAATCCCGGTGAACTATCTTCAGTTGGGAATGCTCATGGAGATACTGCAGGCCTCTGGCAATACCATTCAGTATTCTGCATCGTGCTCCCCAGTCAAGTTGTTTGCCACTTTCAGGATCTAGCATGAAAAAAGGACACTTATTTTAGTTAAGAAGAAGTTCTAAATGACTTCCCCTCCACTCACTTTCCAGGAAGTAAATTATGCTGTGCCCCAAGAATTAACTCTGATATCTAACGAAGCAGAGGATGAGAAGTACCGAACAAAAAGATATCTAGGCTTCTGTTTGGCATGTACTCGTACACAAGCAAATGTTCTCCTCCTTCCAAGCATACACCGACAAGCCTAACTAGATTCTTGTGCTGCAGCTTAGCTATTAAAGCTAGCTCATTCTTCATTTGTCCTACACCTTGTTTTGAGATCTGACAAAGCTTCTTCACTGCCACTTCTTGTCCATTTGGGAGGGCACCCTGAGCAAGCAACAAAAATCTGTTCTCAAGAAGATCATTGTACTTGGCCAGCAACCACAAGTGCTGCCCCGCTTATTAAGTTCAATATTTGATTGTAGTTTTAAAATTAAAATTCCAATCTCAACACGTGTTTGGTTAGATATATACAAGCAGAACAACCTATAAAATTTTCAAAAACAAGAACACTATACCTTATAAACAGCACCAAATCCTCCTTCACCAAGTTTGTTCTTTTCATCAAAGTTGCTTGTTGCCGATTGTAGTGTGGACAGACTAATAAAGATGGACTCAAAACTTTCCATGTCATCTACATTTACTGCAGCCATCAGAGAACAATAAGTACCACAAGTAGATTTTTTTTAAAGGATATGATAATAAGTATAAGACATTTATGGTTGTATTGTCGCTACATCATATGGGCTTACCAAAGAGTGATGCTTTTCTTTGTGACCTCTTCTTCCGCCAGAAAAAAAGGCCAATTAGTGTGACTACGACTAGTCCACCCAATATTGCAAGTACAATTACGACAGCTAGAGTGGCCTTCGTTTTTCCTGAAATTTATTAAAAGAGATCCAAGTAAATATAATGCGCTAAATAGTGCGTGTTTGGTTCTTTGCCTTTGTATCACCAAATTCAGTGCAGGCAGTAATTTTGGTTAGGTTCCCGCAAAAAATAAGTAATTTTGGCTAGGAACTTTGGATACTGTTTGGTTCGTGACTAAAAGTTTCTCCCAATTTCATTTCCAAGCAGAAGTGTAGGAATACCAAAATTTAAAGAATAAGTCAGTCGAATGCTGAACTTTATTCACTTCTGCTTCACGACACCCCCCTAAGTGAATCAAGGATGAAGATTAAACGTACCCCTTCAACTGGGAGGTTATGATGGTCAAATTTGTGAGTAAAAGACAAAATTGCCCTTTTTAATTTGTGGAAGTGGGGAGGGGGCTGTACTTCCGCATGCCTCAACTTTATTTGGCTGTCGAAATTTTGGGATGGAAAATATTGGAAGAAACCAATCAGGCTTGTAAACCTAAAGATTGCTATTTTTTGTATCAGGTTTGGTACCATTTTGAGTTTCGGTGAAAGGGCATGCAGTTATGCTACTGCTTCTATTAATTTAACCTAGGTACAGGTTTTGTAAATGGACATTTTTTTAGTTGTAAATGGACATAATTAGTTGAGAGACAGCAGGAGTATATATAAAGCACCCATTTTAAGTTCTTCTATTTGACTAATAAAATATGTATAATATGCCACAAGAAATTTATTGTTAGAAACTAAATTTGACGATGAATCTCATTTGTTTTTATAAAATACATAATACATGTTTCCCTAGTTAAACCAAAGACCTAAATACTAGTGCCCGTCTTATAAACACAAGCGGAGGGAGTACTAAATTTGACGATGAATCTCATTTGTTTTTATACAATATAGTTCTCTCTTGAGAATTTATAGTCGTTTCTTGTGACCTTAATTTGTGCAGCGTACATGAATACTAATAAAAAAAAGTGAGGTGTTCTATGCCACCTCCTTTCATATATAGATGTCATTTACGAAATTAAAATAGCAATCACACAGTACTTTGTTTATATATCAGTAGAGTTATTTTTATAAAAATGATAATTATAAAAAAAATATTTATAATAAGCGCACCATACCTACTTCCCACTTACATGATTACTACTCCCTCCTTCCCAAAATATAAGGCGTGGTTTGACTTTTCGGGTCTTCATTGCACAACTTTGACTATGATTTTCATGTATATTGTATGTCTATAAAATAGTATACATACATACATATGAAATAAAATTGTTTTGCAAGACAAATACGACGATGCCATTTATACATGTTCAATCCATATACTTTGATATATATTAGTGGTCAAAGTCATGCATCAAAGACCGTAAAAAGTCAATCGCGCCTTATATTTTAGGAAGGAGGGAGTAGTAAAACTAGAAAGCTACCTGTGCACATATACATATAGTGTTTTAGACAAGGCCCTACTTTCACATGTATATATAAATTATGCTAAAATTCGAAAATATTTCATGAAAAACATTAATTATTCATAAAAAAATGGTGTGACAGAGTATTCACTTCAAATATGTATATACTCCACTAAAACCACGACACTTATTTTATTTTAGAATGGAGGGAGTACTACTTACACTTTCTAGAATGTCGGTGTATCTACGAACCAAAAAAAAGTGTATCTACGAACAAGTGAAAAGCCAATTTTTCGTTTACCGAAATTAGTCAACAAATGGGTACAACAAGACATGAGTGTTGCACGTGCAACTCACCTCCTGGTCCCCCAACTTGCAACCGCACCATGGGTTTGCCGTCATAGAAGGGAAATACGTCGAAACGCAAGCCGCAGCGCTCGCCAACCACCCTCGCTCCCGTGCGGTTGGAAGGGAATACCAGCCGGGGCATCCCCGACATGGCCGCCGCCAGGCATGCACGGCACTGCGCCGACGTCAGGTCCGGCGTGCACTGTGCCAACGAAGAGATCTTGTCGAATTGTCCGCCGAAGTAGTCCCTGTCAACGTCCATCTCACCGGTGGCGAACTTTCTGGTCGAGTTGGCCACCACTGCGTAATCAGCGGTGGCGTTGAGGAGCTTGGTGACGAAAGTCTTGAAGCGGGCGGCGACTGAGGAGGCAAGGGAGGGGGAGCTACTGAAGAAGGCATGCTGCTGCGAGTTGTTGGTGGACGCGAGGAAGTTCCGGTTGGAATAACGGACGTGGCAGTTGTCGTAGAACATGGTGACGTCCATGTCGGAATCACAGAGCACCTGCCCGTCCTTGAAGCCCGACTTGAGGCATACGAGACAGCCAAAGCTGGCGTCAAAGTCGCCGCGGCAGAGCGCGAGGGCGTACACCGTTTGGTTGGGGCCGGCGCCCATGGCGCCGGTGGCGAAGAGGGTGGGCAAGGAGGAGGCGTTGTCCGGGAGAGTGTCGGCCATTCGGTTGAGGCTGGCTTGGTATGCGCTATCGGTCGTGTAGGTGCCGCTGTTCCCGCAGACCTGCCAAGGGCTGGCATCGGCCGGTGGCGCGAACAAGGCGAGGATCAGGACGGTAACGAGTGTCCGGCCGCCGCCGTGCATGGTCGGCGTGTGCTATCTAAGTCGGGGAAGCTAGCGAAGGGATGGCAAAGAAGAGGTGGACGGATAGGTATGGAGTGGCGGGTGTCTGTGCAATGAAGGAGGTGGTGGCGATTTGTAGAGCTGCCAATTAAGTTTTGTGGACTTGTGTGTGTGGAGGGTGCGCGCATTGGAAGGACATTTGAAGGCGACACCGGGGAAAAATATCCCATGATACAAGAGGTTTTCCTACCTCAGATGATGACCTATTTGCTCTTATCTTAATCTATGTATATGGCCAAATTTATATATATATAAATAAATCAACATCTAAACATAAACCTTTTTTGCGGAAAATTTACAACATAAACTTAGACAAGTTTGACTTATTCCAAATCAAAGCTAGAACTACAATTATTTTTCAATGGAGGGAGTATTTATAACAGTGCAAGCTCAAACAGTTGTTGCTTGGAACTTTTTCTCCAAGCGTTTTCTCCCCTACCCCTCAGTGGCTAGGGCAAACTCTCCCATCCAAGCCTCGCTGGCGAGCCCATGGATTCACCTCCCCTTTGTCGGCCGCTCCGGCTGCCAATGGCGGGGAGGGGATCCCGGTACCTTTGCTTCGGCTAGTAGTTTATGTTAGGGTTTTAGTCCTCAGAGGTGCTGCGACATATCGGTTGCTTCATATCTATTCATGGAATGAATGACAATGTCTGTAGCTCCAGGGCACGTGTCCTTGCGGACACGTGCACGAAGCGGCTCGTTTTGGCGGCGGTAGTGGTCATTCGGTGGTCTAAAACCCTCGATGTAACTTTTATTACGTTGGAGGTGTTGTGTACTCTTGATTAACTTTTATAATAGATCGATCTAGAACACAATAAAACAAATACTCCCTTCGTTTTCGAAATATAAGTCATTTTAGAGATTTCAATACAAACTACATACGGATGTATATAGACATATTTTAGAGTGTAGATTCACTCATTTTGCTCTATATGTAGTCTTTTATTGGAATTTTTAAAAAAGACTTAAATTTATGAATGGAGGGACTAGTTCCTTGAAACCAAATTAAGAAAAAGGAAACATGTTCTCACATAACATGGGGTTCATCTGGTTCTACACATGCGTTTGTGCTTGATCTATTGTAAAGTAGTTCTTGGTGCTTAGTTGTTCAGAAATTATTGAGTCCTACCTAAATCCATTTATCTTGTTTCAAAATATCTGATCCAAGGGTTATGATAGGCTTCACCACGAGCACACAGCGGCGGTCGATCAGGGCTGCCGCGACCCTGTGAGGCCATCCGACGCTGGAAGGACGGCAACGACATCGACGACGACAACGGAGGTGCCAGCGGCCTCGCAGGCCATGCCTACGAGGTCACCACTAGGTAACTCGCGTAATTTAATTTAGTTTTTTTAATTTTAGTTGAACTTGTTAGATAGCGTCTGATTTGCATGTACTATATGAAACTTGCTTAAGTTTAATCATGTTTGCATAAATTTGGTTTGTTTGTGAAATATCCATTTAAAATATGGATGGATATTTTTTTGCGAAAAAACTTCCAATCTATTCATCTTCAATCATGGCAGTACAACGAACACCAGAAATAAAAATTACATCCAGATCCGTAGACCACCTAGCGATGACTACAAGCACTGAAGCGAGCCGAAGGCGCGCCGCCGTCATCACCCCTCCATCGCCGGAGTTGGGCACAACTTGTTGTAGTAGACAGTCGGGAAGTCGTCGTGTTAAGGCCCCATAGGACCAGCGCACCAGAACAGCAACCGCCGCCGATGAAGAATAACGTAGGTCGGAAGGATTCAACTCGAAGACACACGAACGTAGACGAACAACGACGAGATCCGAGCAAATCCACCAAAGATAGATCCGCCGGAGACACACCTCCACACGCCCACCAACGATGCTAGATGCACCGCCGGAACGGGGGCTAGACGGGGAGACCTTTATTCCATCTTCAGGGAGCCGCCGCCGTCTCGCCTTCCTGAGCATGACACAAACGCTAACAAGACAGAAAAAAACGACTGGAAACGGAACCCTCCGAGCCCTCCCACCGGCCCTTGGCAGGATCCACCGCGCCCCCATGGCCCTAGGACCACCGGAGACGAGGCAGACCTGCGGCGGCGCCGGCGAGAGGCAGAAACCCTAACTTTCTTTCTTGAAGGAGGAGGATATGGATGGATATTTTGAGCACATGGTTGGATGGCCGCTCCCCTACCCGCTATGCGCGGACGTTTGAAGCGTACGTTTTGATGCATGACGTTTGAGATGCCCTAAGCATGGAGCAACTATTGACTGAAGCGTAGTCCTACATGGTGCTTTTTGTGGCAATACTATTCATAAGACGGTCAAACGTAAGCGGACGAAGGAGCTTTGGAAGTGTACATAGGCCGTAGGCTAAGGAAAATACCCAATGGTTCCTGAGTACATATGTACCCTATATGGGGATTTGCTTTTAATAGTTAAACAAAAAGTCAAAATAGTTAACAAACTATTTTAAAATAAACTTGACTTACTTGCACACTAGTATATAAATTTTCATAAAAAAGAACTACGTTGACTTCATAGCGAAAAAAACAAAATTTATTTACTATTATAGGTCACTATTCACGCTATATTGAGGAAAATTTTTGTTTTTTCTAAAAGAAGTCAAAGAGGAACTTTATGTTTTTTAACTTTTCTAACTAGTACAATAGAAAGTCAAGCTTTTATCTAAAATATTTTTAGAAATTTTGACTTTTTACTGAATTACTATTTCTTTTTGCATATAAGGTACATATATACCCAGGAACCAAATGTTCCCCTCCGCTAAGCGAAATACACAATGATTCCTGGGTCCGTAGGCTAAACCCTACCACTTTAGCTGTCTCAGTCATTGCATACTATGCAACTAAAAAGTTAACCTTTTTTTTTGCGGGGAACTGAGTATATGGCTTTGTGGCGGAGAAGATTCAACGATCTGAGGATAAAACGATTATTAAACCTCAAATTTGGTTTAATGACATGACATGTCATGGATCCCGCCTGCAAGTGACATGACATGTACCGCACCTGTTTATGGGCATAACTGAGCATAGTCAAAATTGGATGTATTTTTCAATATTCTGTAAAGGTGTTTTTTAAAGGTTTATGCTACTTAATATATGGCATTTGTTCTTTTTGCAAAAAGAAAGTAGTGGAAAAATCAGCTAGTGGGCACCAATTTAGGGCATTTCCAATGGCGACCCGCAAACCGCCCGCATACGTCCGGATCGCGCTGTCCGGACGACGCAAGCCATCCAACGCGGGCCCGTATCGGTCAGCAGCGCTTCTAGACGTGTTTTCTCCCGCAAACCAGAGACAAACGTGGGAAACTTTACGGGCGTCCGGACCGCTCCCAAGCCCGCTTCTGATCACACTGGCCCACCCAAAACCCCTCTCCCTAGGTCGTGCGCGTTCCCGCCCTGCGCCAGCTGCCCGCATTCATGCCGCTGCAGAGCGCGCCGGTGCACATTGAAGACGACTCAGAGCGGACACGACCTCTCACTACCTCCGCCATTGAAACGTTGCATCGGCCGAGGGCGCCAACCGCTATACGCCCGGCTAAACACGCCTCCTCGCCGTGTTTCAGACACCTCCATTAAAGCCACGTGGAAGCCGAGAAACCTACTCCGGCCACACTTTTGTTCATGAGCGGGTGGCATTGAACACAACACCGGGCAAGCTCCTCCCGTCCGCCCGCTATTTAAAGGAGGCCAGACGCCCAGCAAGAATCGCACCACTCCACCGCTCCCCATCTCCTCATTCCACCATTTTATCCGCCCTTTCGATGGCATCCAACAAGCAGAAAGAGCTGTTCTTCGACATAAAAGCCGGCTGGGTGGCCCGCCGGATACGAATGAGGCAGCTCGGCGCTCCGTCTCCCTCGCCTAGTCCGGCGGAGCAAGTTGCCGCCCCAAGCCGGCGCGTGGTTCAGCAACTCGCCGCTCCAAGCCAGCTCACGGAGGAGTGGCGAGTTGCTCCAGGCCGGCACGGGCATCGTTGCTGTCGTGGGCGACGCTGTGTCATACCGTGCCTGCGACCGCGCCATCCGCCGTCAACGCTCGTGTAGCTGCGCCATGCCGGCAGAGAAAGAAGTTGGTTGTGCGAAGATCGAAGAGTCTGCGGCCAACGCGTCCACGCCCGCCGCTATCATCGAGGAGAAGTAGAACACGGGAGGCCGCTGCCGCTTGGGTCCCATGAAGGCCACCGCTGAGGCGACACTGGCGTACACAGACGGTGTCTTGCCCTCTCGCAGTCAACCGCCGTCCCCTAACTCAAAAACCAACTTTCATCCATGCAGCTTGGGGACCCTTCCCCTCCGGCTGAAGTATCAGCCGGCGGTTCCACTCTGATGAGCAGTGGAGAAGCAAGCCGTCCTTTGCACTGAAGCATATACCTCCGGGGCTCACAGCTGCCGCACATGGGGACGACAATGGAGACCCGCCGCGACCGACAGTAGACTAGTAAGGGTATCCATGTCTTCGGAATGGATATCCGCCGGCACGGCCGTAGACTAGTTTATTCTTTAGTCTGGTATCGTTTTTAGTTAAAAATGTGTCCAAAATGTAAACATTTTCGTCCAGTTATATGAAATATGTCATGTTTATATGAAATCCGTCATGTTTATATGAAATCCGACCGTCTTCGCATGAATTTCATCCGGTTTGTTGAAAAAGAGTTTGAGATGTATGCGGCACGGTTGGATTGCGGCCCCT